TATTCTGCATGTGCATTAATAGTTGTGGTATACTGGAGCTATAGGACCGACCTTATTTTATTTGTTAAAGACCCACAGAGCACACCCACAGTTTCCCCCCAGTATGTCCTAACTCTAACCCTACTGTGCCCCCAGTATGCCCACAGTGTGCCCACATTGCCAGCTTTGGGGCCTGTTTAGGGCCACTGCGGGCAGCCCACTGGGGGGCATCCATCAGGCTTGAAATGTGGGGCATGTGTGAGTCCCACACTATGAGGCCCAGTGAAACAGCCCTAGGGTTGTACTGGTATTTCACAGTATGCCACAGTCTGAAAATCGATGGTTATCATACCATGTACATTTGCTTATTACCGGTCACTATCACTATCAGAATCCGCCGGCAGACTAATGCCCAAAGCAGCAACATGTCCCTTAACCCGTTAAAATATGCCTTTCAGAACAGTATCTCATCCCCAGCAGGCTTTTTATGCACTTCTGGGTTTCTAATGCTTCTGGACCAAAGTGCCTCATAAGCATTCTGACACGTCTCCAGTTCCTTTTGCAGGAATGCATTAGCTTCCTTCGCCGCTTCCAGGCCCTGCCTGAGAGAAGCTACCAGTTGCCTCAGTTCAATGCTGTTTTCTGCGGCTAGCCGACGCTAGCAGAGTTCTCCTGTTCGGGACTCTCTATTCTATCCCTCAAACCACCGATTGCTGACCACACTCAGACTGTGAACTTGCCAGTCTGCCCTTAATTTCTTGCTGTCCTTCCAGCAAGGCCTGTATCACGTTAGCATGCCTCTGCTTTTTCTTGGAACATTTCAGGTTCCGTTCCCTGCATGCCTCCTCTAGCCACTCTAGGGGGTCTAGCTTATCTGTGAGAGATCCGTACGATCCCTCCTTGCAATGCTTTGCAACAAATTCAATGTCCCACTCCATCATTGTAGGTTCTGAGTATAAATTTAAACTCTCACAGTATAAACTTACACAATATACCTACAGTGGTGGTTTATCTGAAGGACACAGGGTTACAGTGTGGGGAACTCTGCTGGTGCCTTCTTACCAAAGCCCAGTTCCTCTACAAACACACCTCCTGTTTACCCTCTATTACTAATAAACAGGTCAAACCAGGAGAATTCTCATGTCTTGAATTACTCCCTATTCCCTATATTATTTTACTCGCAAACCAGTTATACTCACAAGTGTGATTCTTTCTGGGTCCTTCGGTTCACAGAAGAAGGTGGCGCGTCTGGAATGAAGTTTCCTGGTCGGTCTTCTCTCTTAGGTGAAGAAATCTTCTCTCTTCTTGAGGAAAATATCAGCCAAAAAAAAAGGTTCCCAGGTCACTCTTCCAGTTGTTAGCCGCCTTCTCCTGGCTCGCCAATAAGATGTAAGGAATCCACTTGCAGAGTCTCCGCAGTTTCGGCAAAACGTTGGTTTATTGAACAGTAAAAATAATATCATGTACAGTGTAGACGTACACCGAGTATTGAAAGGCAGCTCAAATACAAAGTAAGGACAGGTCTTCATCGCCCTTTATGCCCTCCCCAACAAGGGGCTGTGTGTAAGCGTTGTGTGTGCGTTTGCATGAAAAGAGTGACCTCCTGGAGTGTCAAGATCCAGAGACAGGGATGGAACAGGACAGGACGGAGATTTCCCATGAGAGCAAATGGTAGTTCAGCCACCTTTCTGGTCACTGTATTATCTTTGTTTGCACCCTAGTGGTGCCGACTGGAACCCCCATTCTCTCCCTGACTTCCCTCATGATCATAAATTGCTAACACTGTCTGTATTCAAATGATCAACCAAGAACATTGGGGCATCTTTACTACTTTTCCTTACACCGGTATAGAAAAAAAATGCAACTGAAGGGAGAATCTCTCCTGCGCGTGCGCATCCCCTTCCCTAATCAGCTGCCTGTCAGACTCGGCAGCTGGCCCTGTCGTGCCAAATCTCTCCTGCGCGTGCGCATCCCCTTCCCTAATCAGCTGCCTGTCAGACTTGGCAGCTGGCCCTGTCGTGCCAAATCTCTTCCAGCGCGTCGCTACGGGATCCGCCTGCTTGCTTTGTACCTCGCACGTCTGCGCGTGGAGTCTCGAGCATGCTCGCGCCACATTACATTTTCTGGCACTGTCCGATCCATTCGCCCTACCATTTTACGGAAAATCCATATTGTTTCCAGTAACAGCAAGTTACAGTGGTCGCTTTATTATTTAGGGAGAATTGGTGTTAATGATTACGCTGACTGAAAAATACTGTTTTCTGTAAGTGTTCGCTCTGTTTGATTTTAGAACTCACTCCGGTCGTCTATGTCAAGTTTTTGGATCCACAATATTACCCAAGTATCCCAAAATATTCGTCCATATTTTCATCAGCGTTCACTATAATCATACCATACTAAAATACACACATCCAATGGGAAAAATATAGTTAAGGGAATGCGACCGCAAAACTTACGCCAAACAAAACAAATTAAATAAAAAATGTTACTGCAGACTGCAAAAACTAACATTCTTTAGGTTTGTGCTATATTTTAACAAAGACACTTTAATGTTATTTTTTTTTTAAATAAAGTTTAATAAAGCATTAAGTTTTGCTTTAAGGTCCGCGACCAAAACTAGTAGTCAGAGTGGAATATGTCGATGGTTGAAGGGGGAGGTTTTGTTGCTTTAAAGAATAATGAGCGTTGGTACCTGTCTGGCTCATACAGTTGCTGTCTAAATGATGTGTGACCCAGTCTGGGACCTGGGTTCGAGTCTCCGCCTGGGTCACATGTGTGTGGAGTTTGCATGTTCTCCCCGTGTCGTCGTGGGGTTTCCTCCGGGTACTCCGGTTTCCCCCCACAGTCCAAAGACATGCTGACGTTGCTAAATTGCCCTTAGGTGTGCATGTGTGAGTGAATGGTGTGTGAGTGTGCCTTGCGATGGGCTGGCCCCCCGTCCAGGTTTGCTCCCTGCCTCGTGCCCGTTGCTTCCGGGATAGGCTCCGGAGCCCCCGCGACCCAGTAGGATAAGCTGGATGGATGGATGGATAGCCTGTGTGTGTGTGTGTGTGTGTGTGTGTGAGAGAGAGAGAGAGAGAGAGAGCGAGCGAGCAAAAAAAGGAATGAATGAATTAATGAATGGCGTTTAACGTGAAAGTACCCCAGGCAATTTAGACATTATACTTTTCTTTAATGTCAACTTAAGACTTGTACCCTATAAGCAGACGTATAAGCACAACACTATACTGAATCTTAATTTTGAAATACGCCGTTCTGGATTTAAAGAGAGACTTGAGAGAGGCTATGAAGGACATAAATATGGATGTTCAGTGCAGATACTTAAAAAGAGTGAAACAAGTCGAGTGAACGCCGTAGAGTGCAGTAAGAGAGGCGGGCTTTTCCAGCTATACGCTCCCGAAGTAAATCCAGGTGTTACACCAGCGATTATTGCTGCCCTCGAGAGTCGCTTATTATCGTTGTATTTAATTTCATCGATTTGGAGCGAACCGGTTATTCAGAAGACCTGAAGCTTGTAGCTCTTTAATAAAGGTAAGTGGTTTAAACTATTTACACTTACTGATCTGTCTAAAACCTGCAGTACTGGTTTATAAGCAGACACAACCGTCTGTGCTGGTTTTACTATGTCCAGATCGGACTCCGATTACTTGAAATAAAAATTAATCGGTCAAATTAGTTAACCTTCAGGCGACGCTTTTGTAAAGTATTTGGAATTATAAAAGAAATCGACGCAATTAGAAACTATGACAATATTACAATATGCCTGAAATAGACGTCTGTTGACACAGTAGCGATTACCCCAAATTCGTGGTGAAAAAGGTGGAAAAAAAACTGCCCGAAGAAAAATGGCTCGTCTTTTAAAATTAATTTACAATTGCCTGACACCCAGAAGTAAGCCGTAGAGTGTGGTAATATGGCCACAGTGTGTTGTAGGGGATACTGAACGCGGAAATCCGGCTGTCGTTAAAAGATAAACTGGACTAAGCGCGACACTCATCAGTAATTAAAATTATGTGCTCCGTATCGCAAAGTCTGGTTAAGAAACCAGCAAGGCGCATCAAGTTGCATTTAAATTAGTACTTGTAAACGGAGCAAATCGAAATGTAATTATTTGGAAACTATATATTTGTGTTTCCAACTTTTGTGTCCCTTTTACAAGTCCGATGCAAATAAACCCTGCCATAAAACGGAATTACACAGAAAAGTATACCTGAATAACAAAAACAGCGACAACAACAACTATTTACGAGATATATATACGTAAACTGAATTGTGAAGATACCAGAACAGGGAGTTAAATGAAAACGCAGCGTTACCTTTTAGGTATAATATAACATAAAACATTTAAGCAGTCAGAACAATACAATTTACAGTTTATTGCAGTAATGTTTCAGTGCTCTTTGGGAGACCCATATGTCACTTTTTCCATCAAATTTTGTGCTGTATCAGTCAGAATATACAGTAGTTTTCTTAGGCCAGTATGTTTTGAATGAATGCTGACAACAATTATGCTGTATCATTAAATAAGTCTGACACAGTCATTTAATTCTCTTGTTGATCACATTTGATGAAACACCAGTACCGTTTCTGTGTATTCAGCAGTCCAGTTCTTGATTGCTATTCTTATAAATCCATAAAACAAGGACTGAGGACACACACCCTGCAGTGTATGTGGGGAAAACAAAAGCGTGGTAAACCAACCGGTGTGTGTACATAGCGCGTGTTTGCCTGGGGTTGCACACCCAGCCAGCGACATAGTGCTGTGTGAGAGCACATTTCCCTTTATGTCGCTTAGGTAGTTACACATTCTTTTGAATCGTCACCGCCACAACATTTCTATTCTTCCATTGTGAAGATGGAGAATTTACACAGGTGAGGCTGAATTGGTGATATGTCGGTTTTGCACATACAGGTTAATGCTGTTAGCTGTCAACCATTAGCCCTTGCTTTGTTGATGTTGCATAATCCTAGCATATGCCCTAATAACTTGAAGGGACTGAACAATTGTTTTTGATTTGCAGGTAACAGTCAGCCATTACTGGCCGGGTCTGGCGACCCCTGCCACTGCACCATCTCCAATATGGTGTGTTCCCTGCCGACCTCATCATAAAAAACAACATGGTTCAGTCCTTGGGACATTTTCACTGCGTTGCCATGCTGATGGCATTCAAAGCAATACATACACAAGCATTCTGAGATGCAGTGTTTTATGGAACTAAGTGTGAAATCCATCATATAAATGTATTGTCTTCATTACTTTAACACTGATTTTAAATGATCTAGAATTCAGGTACCAGACAAGCCAAGAAAAAAATAACAATAAAAACTTAATGTCAGTTTTATAATTTCTAATTGAGATGTTCTTATCTAGTTAATTCCTGTTTATTGTGTTACCAGCATGCTATGAACAGTGTGTAGAATGTTAGCTGGGTTTTCTTTGTATAAGTATTGATAGGTGTGCTGGGTCATTAGTGTTCTCCATGCCTGGTGGCCCTGTGCTTCTGTGTAGGCCAGCAGCCTTTGCCGATGACCGCCTGTGTTTCTCCCCCAGGATGTGCAGGGTTACCGGCTTGTGCCTTGGCGCGTGTGGCTGTGCCGCGTGTTTGCCGTGCTGTCGGTGGGCCTCCTGCTCTTACTCTTCCACTGGCGCCCCCGTCTGGCCGTGCTAGCCCGCTGTAACCTCTGTCCTCTGGCCCTGGCTGATACTCTACTCGTAAGGGTGAGACTGGACTTCAGGGACCGCTAAACATTAGCATCTGACTTGATTTCTGTAGTTCGGAAATGGGAGCATTAAAAAGTTATTCAGTTCTTTCTTACTCTGTTCTATAATTGTTGTGGTAAACACAGCCAGTCTTATTGGCCCAAACTTTATTTTATACATTATGAAAAACTTAAGGAATGTTTTGGTCCCCCAGTCAAACAGAGTACAACAGTGTTTATACAAGATGAATTGTGTTAAACTCTGTTAGACTGAAGCGACTGAAAGACCCTGGACAGTGGAGAAAGTTGCAGAACCGGTTCAGTGTCAAGTTTGCCTTCCCTGCACTCGTACTAGCAGAAATATGAGAGCTCTATCTTGCATTGTCAGCTTCATTGTATCCATGACCAGCTAGCCTGTAGTGTCAAGTAATTTGTGTTTGCATCTTCTTTAATATTTAAAGTATTTAATAATTTTGTCTTGCCAGCTTGTCTTGTATTGAATTTGCAAATGGAACAGCTTTGCACCTTTATCGTCTCTTCCTGTTACAAGCACAGGGATTTCTGGATAAGCTAATGGATTAGAGACTGAAAAATTAAGATGGTTTTGTACCTTTGGAATGTGACTTGGATTGTTCCTCTGCTTACTGCCCTATGCCCCCCCCCCAGAATGCCCATGGGCAAAGCTTCATTGTAGAGGTACAGATACTGGAGATGGATGATGGCAGGTAAGTCCAGCAAGTAACAGTGAGTGCCCAGATCTGATTAGCTGTGTGGTTGCTTTGGGTATGCGGCGTACTCAGGTGGATGCGTGTCCCCCCCTCCAGTGCGGAACACCCGGCCAGTGATGTTGAGGAATTTGACTGGAGGGATACAGTTCACCTTCACAACGAGCAGGTCAGGGAGCTGTTTTTGGATATGGGTTGGGGGGGCTGTATGAGTGCAGTCAGTCATGAATTCCTCTTCATACCATGTTGTTTATTTTTTTTTTGTTTTTTTAGAAATCATCCCTTCGCTACTTTATATTTGAGGGGATTCGTTACATTTGGATGGTGAAGAAGGGTGCCTTCTGTCCTGTAAGGTAGGATTCGCGGGAGGGGCACCTTGAAGGACTTCAAGAAAATCTTGAAAGTTTTAAAACAGTGGTTCTCAACTGGCCTAGTCTGCGGATCCATGTTGTTCCTCAGCCATTTAAGTTGCTACCCTTAAGTGTTTTGTTTGTATTTGTTTGTTTCACCAAAGATGGTGACAGTGGGGTCATCAGATTTCTGGGATGGAATTTTGCATCACTTGCCACCACAAAAGCCAGACATCACAAAAGATGTGTATATTTTTTAAGCACACGATCCCTGACCCAACAAAAATGGTTTTGCAACCCAAAAGTAGTTGAGAACCGCTGATTTAATACATCACCGAGATCGCTACATAATGTTCATGCGTTAAAAGGGGGCAGAAGTCTCAAAGTGTCTTTCTGCACAGTGTCCTCAGTGAGGACTGGACTTCCTCTGACATATACCGCCAGCAGGGGGGGCTGAACCGCCACGAACAGAGCTCCAGGTGAACGGGCACTTCTTCCTTATGCACATGGTCACACAATTATATGTCCAGTCATGCACCTACAGATGTACATTTGCACCTCTACATTCATCTCCCTGCTCCCTCTGTGCTCACGCTTAAATGTGTCCTGTCCTGCATCCGGTTGCAGGAGAAAGGTGTATGGGCCAAACCTCATAGATGTTCCTGTGAAGTCCTGTGCTCGGCTGCTGGTGGAGGAGGTGCTGGATTCCATCCATGTGTCTGTTACTGGATCCCCTTGGTCCTGCTAGTCCAGCTGACCCTCACTTTCTCCCCTTCAGGTCCTCAATCCCTTCTACCTGTTCCAGATCTTCAGTATCATCTTATGGATGAGTGACAACTACTTCTACTATGCAGGCTGCATCCTTGTCATCTCACTTATTTCTATAGCCATCTCCCTCTATGAAATTCGTAAGGTGAGGATGGAGCAGGAGCAAGTGCGATCTTTCATATTTTCTTGTGAGTTTACAATGCTGGGTTCTGGGTGGGTCTGGATCTCAAACAGCATGGGGCAAAATGAAGGGGAGCACATAAAACACGGTGACAGCCAAACGGAGAGAGACTCATACACTACGCATAATTTAGAGGCTTGTGTTCTCCCAACTGCACGTCTTTGGACAGCGGGAAGAAGCTGGGGTACTTGGATGAGGCAACAAACACAGACAGCAGGGATGGGGTTCAAATCCCCCATGGAGAAGGCTTGAGGCATCAGTGTTACCCTCTTGGTCACCATGCCAGCCTAATGAACTCCCATATACAGTCAGTCACCATGCCAGCCTAATGAACTCCCATATACAGTCAGTCACCATGCCAGCCTAATGAACTCCCATATACAGTCAGTCACCATGCTGACCTAATGAACTCCCGTATACAGT